TTCTATCTAAATATGTAAATATATACTGGGTGTTCTATTTAGAACGATAATGTTTCTATTGTATTACAAAAATGGCAACCTGAGAAAAATTTGCTGCCGTCAATCGACCATGTTCTTTTACCTCGGTATGTTAAATTTGACATCGATCAAATAATTAGTATACAAATCATAGTGGAGTGTCCAAATAAAAAAACACCCTGTTATAAATTCCTTATTTGTCATAATTTTCTATTAAAATTCAATGTGTCAGACAAAAATAATTTATAAACCTCATTCTGAAAATTAATATTCAGAATGTAATTTTTTGTCTATTATTATTTTTTATGTTTTAACGAAAACTTGTCCCACTTAACTAGGATATGCTTAGAAAGTCACTGTAACAGGTAGGTAAATTTTTTGTTTTGATGGGCGCATTATGACATTAAATGAGACGTTTAGGTCAATAAATGTTTAAAAAAAAGCTGTAGGAAAAAGTAGCATAAGAGTAATGCAGAAAAATACAGGGTGTTCCATTTGAATTTTAAAAGTTTTGGCAGTTTTAAGTTTTCAAAATGTAACATGAAAAATGGGACCCTGAGTACAATTTTCATCAAGTAATTTTGATAGTGGAAGGTAGTGCATCTTATGTTCTTTGTGTATTCCAAATAGCAAGTTAAAGCTCCCAGAACGAAGAAAGATATAAGGAATTTTCGAAACGCTTGCATCTGCCAAAATTTGTCGATTACCTCGAAACCGGTTAGATTTAGGTACATGGAAATTTTAACATTTTTGACTTATTTTCATTTATCTTGTCGATAATGCACTAATATATAAGGTGTTTTATTTAAAATCACGAAGATGACAGCTACTTCCGGTATAATCGGTTGATGGCATTATATATTTTCATTGAAGAGAGCATATCTGATAACCGTAAACAAAATTACAGTCAGAGATCTTTGGTTTCTCCGAAACGTTTAATAGGCTATTTACCGTCAACAACCCAGTATATTATAAATTATTGTATAGTATACAGGGTGTTAATGAACTTATGTCAATAATTTAGAGGAGTGAAAAAGGAGCAAAAACTGAGTTAACTGATAAACTTGTATCGGAAATTTAAGGTCATAGAGAAAAAAGCTAATTAAATATGTATTTAAAACTGTTTTGGAACTGCTGAAAGACATGTTTTTTTATCGCGGCGAGTACTTTCAAAAAAATTATGTAATACATTTTACGAGTTTCGAAAGTCAGTTTGTAATACATTGTTGTAGTGATTGCTGTACTGTTTTTCGAGTGTACATTTAATAGCCGTATTTCCAAGTTTTCTTTTGAAAATGACGCATTTATTGGCGAATATTATGAAAATTTATTGCGAAGCAAACGAAAATGCCCACAAAACTTGTTAAGTGTAACGTGCAATATATCCTGAATGACGTGCCTCCGCACCGCGAACATTTGTTGTTGTAGCGCAAAGAGTTTTGGACACCGGTCACGTACAACCGCGTCGAGGTCGCGACGGTGGCCCAGGGCGACCACTAACAATCTTAAAAGTCGAGGAGATGATTTTAGATCTCGTCGAAGAAGATCAGCATCGGAGCACCAGAAATATCGCACAAGTAAATATTCCGCGTCTTGTTGTGTGGCGGACATTACGAGGAGCTCAGTTATACCCATTCAACAACGACACAACAACAACAATAACAACAACACATTCAACATTCAACAACGTGTTTAAGCGCTTACTCCTGAGGATTTTTCCACCACGTCGAGGTTTTTGCGAATGGTTGCTTCAGGAACATGCAAGAAATCTTCAATTTACAGCGCAAATACTTGTTACAGATGAAGCATGTTTCAATCGAAATGGTGTACGTAACGTCCACAACACTCTCCACTGGACTATCGAAAATCCACATGAAATACGTCGCGGTGCTCTTCAGCAACAGTTTTCAGTGAACATGTGATATCGTTAATGTCACTTTAATAGGAGCTTTTGAATTGCCTAGACGCTTACTCGATGCTTCATGTATAGATTTTTTGCCGAAACGCTTGCCGGAGTTATTGGAAGACGTGACATTAAATGTTCGGCAAAATATGTGGTTACTTCATGACGGAGCCCCCGCTCATTTTTCGGAGAGTGCGCGACTTTCTAAACAATACTTTTTCCGATCGCTGGATAGGCCGCCGCAGCCTAGTTACATGACCCCTCCGGTCCCCGGACCTCACCCTTTTAAACTTCTCTTTGTAGGGATATGTATTGTGTATTCCACGAAAGGTCGTGACATCCACCAACTGCGACATCGTATTGCCGAAGCTTGTAATACGATTCGCAAGGATGTTGCAACGCGTGCGAGCGAATTGGATACGTCGCACTGAAGCTTGTATGCAAGCAAATGGTGGATACATCGAACATCTCTTGTGAAAATCAGCAATTTTCAAAAGGTGGCTCCTTGCAATGTTGAGGTAAGTCAGATTTTAAAATTACATTTTACTCAACACAAATCCGTGTATTTTGACATAACGGATATGTACCAAAAATATTTGACATAAATTCATTAACACCCTGTGTGTATATATCATATATTTTATATAGGTATTTTATAATATATTATATATTATAATTTTTTTATATATTAATATTTTTACGTCATTGTGTTTATACTGTTTTTAATCATAGCCTCACATGGTAATTGTACCTATGTAAATGCTTTATAGTTGAAAAATAATATAATCAGTTGACCACAATGGAGTCAGTTTCTTATTTGATATTTTGAGAAAAAGATTATGCTCCTATGAAACTGTTAATCGAAAAACATAATAACTCAAATGGACAGTGAATGAACTCAAACATGAATTTGAAAATCATTTTCATGCTGTTTTATAAAAAATGAGTAATGGTTAAGTACTTTATTTCAGTTTTTCATACAATAGCAGTACAATTCAAAAGACTCACTGATACAATTTAGTTAATTGATTTTCTAAAATATACCTCCTATAGGGGTTCTAAAGAATTTTTGATTCTTTATCAATACAATTTCCCAAAAACGTTAAAAATTGTGGTAATTTTAAAAAGGCTTTGTTTGTATGTTTTCACAGTTTAATTTACTTTTTCTAAAATATATAGCATTTACTTATAAAGAAAAAATCTGAAATGTGGGATGATTTATGCGTGTATTTTCTATTATTAAGTGGAAAGCGGAATACTTTATGTACAGCAAGCGTTAAAATAAACCTGTTTTTTTACTTTATCTTCATAAAATGGAACCAGCAATTTTTAAAAGGTATAAAATTATAATTTTAAGATAAAAGGTGGTTATTAGAGGTTGAGAAGATCCTTCCAATTTAATTTTTTTATAATGGGGTTGCCGAGACGTGAGAGATGGATGTTGCAATATTACATTTGACTCGAAATTGCACGTCCCTCAAAATCAAAATTGACCTGCCACATATACATGTACAAGGGGAGGGGGATAAGTTTTTGTTAAAACAAGTATTATTTTACAGAATTTGCACCAAATAGATTCAGTAGTTTTGAGATGGAGTGGTTATAGCAACTATTTAAATTTGTCTTTGCGGACACTCCGTATAAGTTGGCCTGGAGAAATTGTTAGTCATATAAAACGCAGCAGCAATTTTCCATTTCAAATGTTGTCTCGACTTTTATGGTAACTTATTATTATTTATTAGCTAAATACTAGATTTCATTTCTGTAATAAATTAAGTATATGAGATTACTTAGAGTATTTTAAATTGCATTGCGAACTTCAATATTGTTAATTGAAATTTTGTTTAAACGTACATAAAATTTTTAATGTTGCTTTAAAATATTGTGAACCAATATGAATTTGGTAAATTCCTACTTCCTCTTTATAATCAGAATTTCTAAAAACATATTTATCAAATTAAGTAAGTAAAATAAAAGTTAATTCATATGGATGATCCAATCTGCATCATATATTATTTGTTATATCGTTTTTTATTTGAAATTTTTGTCTAATTTTTACAATTTTACTCTTTTTTTTTAGCTTTTGTTTATTATGCGATTACTGTAGTCTAAAAATCACGCCAGTCAGTCTTAAAATTATCTTGAAAAATACTTTTTGTATTATTGATTTAAAAGGGACGAAAAATTTAAGACAGCATACACTACCATTTGTAAAGAAACTTTTCTTCGATTTTTTATTATTTTAATTAAGATTTTATAAAAAAAATTGTTATGATTGAATGATTAGATAAAAATTAACATTCAAATCGAAAAAAATTGAGGTTGGGGAACTTAATTTATTTTGGAGATTTATTGCAGTTTGTACATAAGTATGTATTAACGAAATAAAAAATAATTTCCTCTGAAAAATAACTGAATCATTGTATCTTTTACATATCCCTGACTGTATGTACGAATTTTTGATATATTTTTAAATTATCTCTTGATTATAAATTAGCCAACATTTTAAACAAAGTAAATAAAAAATATTTAAATATCTGCCTTGTTAAGTTTCAATTAGAAAGTACGAACGTCCAAGTTTAAGAATAATAATAACTTATCTAAGTTTTTGAAATATCACAAAAATATATTTACAAGAATACATTGAAATTAGGAAGTTTAATTTAATATCTCCAGTTCAGTGCATTATTTTTTCGGTAAAGGAAAAATTTTTATTATCCTCTTTTAAGAGATAATCGTTTGCTATTAGGTTTAATTTTTTCATCTTTAAGAATGACATTGCTTCACAAATATACATTTTCAATCCAATGCATTAGTCGTTAAAAGTTTCTGTCATGTTGAAAATGCCCGAGATAAATTTTATGTTTTACATAAAAGTAATCAATTGAATAAAGTAAAATATTTCCTTGACGCTTTTATGATATCTGATAGTGTTACAGTAACACATTGCTACTAGTACGCGTTTGAGAAATATAAAATTCTACATAATTTTAAATATTCATATATCGTAATATCCTATTAAAGTATTAGTCAATACAGCGCAGCACTTAATGTCTATAAATACATACATAAATAATTGTTATTTACAAGTATATTCTTCAGTTCTTTCACTACAAGTATCGCAATCTACTCGACAACACCATAAAAATTTACATCTACATTGAAAAGTTTTTGTATACTGATGAGTATTGTATCCTCTTCCGCAGCACATTAAGTCACAACCGTCTGTTCCTAAAATAAAGAAATAAACAAATTTTAATGATAATAACGGAATCAACACAAATTTACAAATTAATTGATAATAACGGGTTACTGTTATTCGAGCTGCACTATGAGCATCTCGATTATCGTATATTGTGAAATTTGATGCCGAAGAAGATGCCGAAAAGAAGTAATTTGCTTCGTGTTGAAGGAATACTTTGGAAAACCGTAAATATCGTCACCTATCAATGCTTCAATTTTTTTTATGGGCGTTATTTTGATATCTATCAAATTTCCATTTTTATGAAGACAAAACATAACTTACTTCAAGCGACAGTTTGCTGGTGGAGTTAATTGTTTGTTGACAACGATATAGTTTAGAAAACTAAAAATTTTCATTATCATTAATCAATAAGTTTTAAGCATATTTTTATAAATATATATTTTAGCTCTCGTAACTAATTCAAATAAACTCAAAAACATTTCTTAAAATCCTATCAAATGTGTTAAAAGATGTTGGTATCAAATGATACCAAAAAAATCTAGGTATGCAAAATACCTATATATTACATGTCCCGACTAGCATTGAATTATACCATATCTAGTAAACTGCTAGTATTAAATAATTACCTGAAATAAAACTTAAAATTCTTATTTATTAATTTTTAAAACACATACCTTGAAATCATTCAATAATGTAGTACTTCAAAGAAATATTTTTTATTCCTATTATTCTACATTACCTTTGAGAAAGACCATCACGCAAATATATCCGCGATAAATAGATGAAATGGCCTCTTGTGAATTATAAGTATTTATAGAAAAAACGATTGATAAATTTTTGGTACCAAAGAACATATTTTACTCCATTTGACAGGATTTTAGGAAACTTTTTTTATTTTATTTCAATTAAGTTTAAAATAAAGTAAAAGTTATATGCATATCTTGCTGCCTATCATATGAAAATTGCATTTTTAGTTCTCTTTAACGTCATTGAAAATTTAATTGAAGTGTCAAAATTTTATTTGGGGTACCTGCTTAATTGTTGAATGTTTTGTTTTTAAAGTACTCGCTGTAAAAGTGAATAATTCAATATTTTGACGAAGATGAAGAAGCGAACCGAAACATTTTATCATTGTAATAAAAACAAAACTAAATTACTGTTAAAGTTGAATGTCGTTTACATGATTACCCCAAAAAATGTCCTAATAATACTTGAGTTTAAAAGGACCACACATTTGTTTTTTTTTATAACAGAAACGAAAATAAAAATTTTCGATTTCTGTTGGTAATCTTCAATTTCTCTTCGACATGCTACATTTGACATCAAATTTTATTCGCATTTAACCGATCTTTTAATATAACCGAATTTTATATGGCATATCATGTACCTAAACTTAACCGTTTTCGAGACATCAAAATTTGAGTCATTTTCTTATAAATTATATAAAAATATTTTAGTCCTTAAGTTCATAGTCCATCAAGTTACCTTTGAAAGTTTCTAGCTCCATAATAACACCGCGTCGTTCTTTTGTCTAATATGATTATCTTATCAAAAATACATTTATTATGAAAAATTTTCTAGCAAAAATTGTATCGTTTAAGCGAAACCGAGCGTATTGAATTTTAATGATATGGTGATAGAAGACGAAGTTATGACGAACTAGTGGATATTTTTAATAAAAATGTTAGATGTGGTGATAAATGCATTTAAAAAATTTGCGAGAATAATTACATCCATATAAAATTCATTTGTTACAAGAATTGTAACAAATGAATTGTTGTTTTCATAAAAAAATATCCAGGACATTCATTGAAAAATACAATTTTTCGTTTCATGCATTTTTATCAACCCTGAATTATTAGGCTTTTTAATTTTTTTATAAAAAGACTAATAATAAAATTGAATTCACCTTGTGTTATTTTCAAAATAAACATCCATAATTTTCGGTCCTTTTTTTTTATAAATTTAGTAATAAAAAATTTACTTTCAAAGTTCTATATCTCGAAAACGGTTAAGGTACACGATGTGCTATATGAATTTTGTTTAGAATTTTGAGAAGAATTGAAATATGCAATAATATACAGGGTGTTCCATTAAAAAAAACCTTTGTTTCGTCATGATTTTTCTTTATTGTAGCAGATTTTAAAAAATCATAAAATGTTTGTGTCTTATGATTTTTGGATGGCTATCTTACTTTAGGAGATAATCGACCCTTTCCAATTTGAAATATGGCTATAATGATTCCCGTTTGTTTTCCGGAACCCGACACTAAAGAATGTAACATTGTTTTCCGAGCACCCTGTATATTTAATTCGTTAAATGATCAATTTCCAACTTACCTCTCGAGGTTCTGTTGCATGTCCTTCCAACTGTGCCTAAGGAACCAGCTGCTAAATCCCTTTCACAGTAATTTGGAGACATTTGTAGGAAAACTAATTCTGATTTCTTTGGCATTTTTTTAACAGGCAATTTTCCCTTGGTTAAAACAAGATGTAATTTTTTCTGCTTCCTAGGGCCGTCAATACCTCTTGGTCCATGCTGTGATGCACTAGCAGCTACTGGTCTGGCTCTATAGTACTTTTTCATTAAAATATCACCGACTTGCCTGAATGTTGGAAGTGTCTTCCAGCAAGTCTTCATAGTGCAGCTTCCGGACACTCCGTGACACTTGCACTCTACTATGAGATTCATTTTTACAGCCTGCAAATTATAACTACATATTAAATGTTGAAGTTATCTAATAGAAATATTAAACTGGAAAAAATTCCAGGAGGCAACTGCAAATTGCAAAATATGTATGAAAGTATTAGTCTTTTTATTTTTTATTGGATATTTTACCACCTGTGAAAAAAAAAATATTGAAAAATTAATGAAATAAATCATTACGCCAAAATGATCAGATCAGTCAAGAGTTATTTTTATGAAAATAGTTTTGCTTAATGAAAAATCTCATATGGAAAAAACAGACAAATAAGAAATATAAAATACGTTGCTTTATTAAAGTTCTATTTATTAATCGATAATCCACACCTATACCACAGACAATATAGCGTATCGCTACAGACTGCTACTTAAATGCTGGAAATTGGCAACCCGAAATGGAAGTAGGGTCTCCTTAGCCGGCTTTCAGCTTAGGGTTTCTGGTCGACACTTCTCGAAGCGGGAATTTCCGGGAAATCTGGCCTTACTCGANTCAAAAAAATTAACACAATGTAAAATTGCTGGAACCTCAAGGAGTAGTTGAATACGAAATTTATTTAAAAATAACAACAAATCATCAATCAATACAGAGATAAGATAATGCGTTCGCTACTGCTGTTGCAATTTTTAACTAACTAACTTTTTTGTTTTTCGACATACTGACTTCGGACCGTTTCCATTCAACGCAGAACGGAAATCAGAACCAGAGTAGTAGGGAGATTTTTTAATTATTTTTTCAATTCAACGCACTGTTTCCGAATTATAAGACCTTCTTTACTGTATCACCTCACACACCTCTTCTTTCCGAAATTTATTTTCCACATATGGACTTCGGACCTTTTCCATTCAACGCAGAACTGTCATACAGAACCAGAAGTGTGGAGAGATTTTTTCAATTATTTTTTCGATTTAACGCACCGTTTCCGAGTTATACGGCCTTTTTACTATAACACGATATATCTCTTGTTTCCAGAATTTATTTTCGACATACGGACTTCGGACCTTTTGCATTCAACGCAGAAGGAACATACAGAACCCGGGAGGGAGGGGTTGACATTTTTCAATTATTTTTTCGATTCAACGCACCGTTTCCGAGTTATAAACACTTTTTTATCCTATGACGTCACACACCGTTGGTCCCGATTTTTTTTTTGACATGCGGGTTTTGACGTTTTTCACTCGTTCACCATGGGAGATTTATTTGTTCACCATGGGAGATTTTTTGATACTTAAGAGTCTAAGCAAATACTGTTTTTTTTTCTTTCATATATTGTGACACCCCGCTCTGCGTCACCCACCGAGTGCTCTACTCAGAACCAAGGGGAAATTTGTTTATATTTCCAGCCATTTCCGAGTTACGAGCAAAAACCATTTTTTTTTCTTATACTGTGTGACATCATAGATCGATAACGAAGGCTTAACAAGGCCACGCGCTCTACCCCACGTTCCCTCCCTAGGTGTCCTGAAATTGCTGGGGAGACTCCTGAAGACAGCAGAGAGAGAGAGAGAGAGAGAAAAGCTCTCTATGAGGACAGAGTCACTCTATCTCTATCGCACACTATAACTCTATCTCTCTCGCACACAATCAGACAAAAACGACAGAAACGAACCTTCTTTTAAAAATACATGGGATTTATCATTATTAGAATAACCCATTTTAATTTAAAAAATTAAAAAAATTACAATGGGTTATTCTGATGACGAAAAATAAAACATAATTAACTGTATTATTCAAATAACAATAATGTGCAAAAGTTCTTCAGGAATATTGGCAAATTTATTTTGGAGGAAGAATCCCGTCAACGAACACTAAAAAATATTATTAGAAACCTTAGGTGGCCAGAAAACAGCCCCGATCTCATTGTCAGTCCTTTAGACATATTTTTTTTTACCTGAAAATTTGCAAGTATTGAAAAAAAAAATACAGGACGAAATGCTTGATAATTTTGAATTTGTTTTTGAAGCAATTAATAGTAAATTGAAACATATTTTCAACTGTATCATCACAATCACTTGCATGTTGATTTGTAAAAATTGTAGGTATATTAATGTTATTTCGTTTTTAGTTATTCTCCTTATGTTGTTGTAAAGGTTAGTTATAAAAAGCGTTGTTTGTTATTTTCATAAGGATGAATTTTAATTTTTTTTTAATGATTTTTTTTTATTTTAAACATATATTTTTTATGCCAGTAAATTTTGATGTCAAATGAAATAAAGGAAAAGTCGTATTTAAAGTTTCTTTCTATCTTTAATTATTAAACCTATAAGTGGATGTCAAAATACAAAAAAAAAACTGTACCTACATTCCGCGATGTACTAATAACCCACCTTGTATATTAAATAAATTTATCGTTATCATCAAATATTAAAAAAATTATATTACAAGCTGTTTAAAATATTATTACTAATTTTGTTTATTTGGAAATATATTTTCTGCAGTATTTCAATACCAAAAAATGAAAATAGTAGGTAGCTAATTAACGAAATTATGATTAAATAATTTAATTGTAACACCACTGCAGAATATCATATGATACATACATAGATATTCGTTGATTCTTTAAAAACATTTTTATCAATACCTACATCATATATTGAAGTAAATACAGTAACGCAAAAAACAGATATTGATAAAAAAGTGTACAAAAGAAATCCGTAAGTACGCCTGGCAACATTACCAAAGTCTTGTTTATATGTTGCTAGGATAGGCTTAGGTATGCGGTCCGCTGTATTTGATTCTTCCTAAAATTCTGCTGGTGGTGTACTCTACCGGCAATTCGGAAATTTAAAACTGCTGGCCTATTCCAGGAGCGGTCTGTGGCGATAGCTATTTTGTCTGTGCCTATACTATATAACATGCAGTTTAATTAAACTACAAGTGTTTCACAATCGATGGATAGGTAGACTCATTACAATACAATCTGTTCGGTGGCCAGACCCAACACCGCTTGAATTTTTCTTGTGGAGTTATTTGAAAAACGCGGCAGATTTGAAAAATGCTATAAGAGGATCAAAGTTAAGATAAGACAAATATACAAAATCAATTTGTTCACTGTTTAGGGACTGTTAAGCAGTAAATAGCGGGTATTGTAATTATTGTTGTCAATTAATATTTTCACAACTTTTGTTATAACGTTATCCTTCAGTTAAAATGACTTATTTATGAGACTGTTATATCCTATTTTATTCTTAGAAATTAAAGGTTTTGTGGGAAAAATTGCTTGATAATTTCTAAATGGTAAATAATAGATCCTACTTATGGAGTATCAGTGTACAACAATTGAATGTAAAATTTAATAAAAAATATTTACAAAAAAATAAGAATCGACTGTCTTAGCATATTTTCTCAAAACGTATTTGTTTCTGATTGATAGTCAATATCCTTTATATTTGTTACATACTGTACAAATTTCAATTTTATTGAAACAGCTATTAAATGAGTATTGATTTATTAATTTTATTAATAATTTGGTATACAAACTAAAAATCTAAATTCTCATTAGATAAAGTCATATATTATGCTCTTTGATACCAGATCAGGATATGAAAAAAAACTACTATTAAAATTTAAAAACAACCTATTGAAAAAGTGTACGATTAAAAAAAATAAGGGGAATGTAGATTAAACTCTGCTTTGTGAAGCCTTTACTACAACATTTATTTGTCAGATGAACTCCTAAATAGTTCTTGACAGTGTTTTACGCGCTGTTAGTTTTAGTTGATGCCACAGAAAAAACAATATGGCTTAAATTGAGAATTCCATTCCAGCCAACAACTTTTTCTACTTAAATCCTTCTAACAAAAATCGATGAAAATATTGAGAGTGGAATATTTTAAATTGACATTAGTGGATCATAAATATTTATAGTTAAAATGTAATTGAACTTCTAGGAAGAAATTTGAAATCAGGTTACTAGTTTGATGCTATTAGTTATTAATTCCAGTTAAAAAAGCAATTTTATGCATTCCTGTAAGAGTGGAATATCCATTATGAATATGGATGAAAAAAACACGTACGGTATGTACGTGTTTTCATGTCTTATTTAATTATTCCTGGAAAGGTGAAGACTTTCAAACAACTAAAATTCCAATGTAATAATTTAGCTACCAGGCTAACATGACCTATAGAGAAAACCGCAAGCATTTATATGTTGCTGAAAGACATGCAATATTTTATGTGGTTGTCAGTTTGTGTTTCAGACAAAAGTTTAAAGGAACTGTCTCTCCAATCGAAGATATTACTGACAGATATTATTTATTGGGTATTTTGTCAGTCAATGATTATTTTTTATTAAAATAGTTTTGCCAAACCAAAAATTTCATACTAAAAAAAGCGCATAAGTGTAAAATAAAATACATAATACTTTACGGATTATTTTATTAAAGACGCGCCCTCAATGATGTTTAAATCCAAATCCAAAAAAAAACGTATCTTGGACAGACCACTTGACCTGAAAATATTAGAATAGATGAACGCAAAGACTACATTGAAATGCGAGGATTTCAGACATCAAAAATTGGGAAAATGATCATATTTTTCAATGCGGTTGGACAAAATTTTGAAGGTTAAAAGAGACGCCGATAATTTTATTAAATGTGAAAGTGAATAATAGTAACATAAACATCATATGATGTCTCTAGTCATGGAAGCGAGAACAAACAAATTTAAACTGTGATTATGAAACAACTTAAAACTGTCAAAACTCTAGCGTCATTGCAGAGTCCTGAAAACAATACCATATTGATTTTTGAAACGTCAGTACATATTGAAGTGCGTGGTATATAGTAGTATTTTGTATTTCCTATTTATCTACTTTTTTAGATTTTTTATAAGGCAAGGGTTTATTCCATTAATTTTTTCATTTTTTCAAACATTAGAATACCCAATAAATATGAAAAAATAAAACTATATGGCAAATAAACAACTTCAGAGAATAAAGGTTATAATTTTTCCCATTATATCATCTTCCAATTCTAATAAATATAATTTGGTGTTTTTT